AGAGAGAGAGAGAGAGAGACGACCCTTGGAATCTTATCTCCATTAAGGAGACAGGACTGGTGCGCGGTGTGGCGCGAGACACGGACAAACGACGCGAACGTGATTCTATTGAACGGCGGCGCGAAGACCCGGTGGAATCTCACGATTATTCCACCGGCGCCCTGGCCTCGTAATCGCTTGGCTATGAATTATTTAGGGACGTCACGTGAGACACACACGCACGCGGGAAAGCAGCGTGAAATACTTTGCTTCACGTGGGCGCCCAGAATTTGGAGCTTGGAACAACGCTCCGCGGTCCGCTCGCGAGATACGATCGAATTAAAAATTTCAGGTTCAGGTTGGAACGATCCAATGGAGCGAGTTCAATGGAGCCGGCGGCACAAAGGTTTTTCCCCAGGTTGAATGCGGCAGCAGGAGAATAAATTTCTAAACGGGCGCGTTAATCACGGCGAACGCTCGCTCGTGTCCACGAACTTCCACCAGAGGTGTAACTTTTTTAATTAGCGCTCAAATTGCGCTTCCTTTATTAACAGGCTCATGCAAATTCGCGGCGCCTTGCGTGAATCTCCGAGGGAATCTCGCGCGAATGTATAACCTGAAATGACGAAATTCGACGCTGACGACACGGACAAGGACGAAGGAGGAGGGAAATTCTCTTCCATCTTTCCGCCTGTCGTGCTCCCTCGATGATGGCACGCGTGTGTCCCCAACTTATAATCGCATTTCACGGAGTACGCTAACCGCGGTGGTTGCGCGATTCGCTCTCGAAGATGCGAAGGAGACAATCGGTGGACGTGTAATTCAGTTCGAAGAACACCTTCGTCTCGCCGACGGAGAAAAGGGGAAGTCGATCGATCAGAAGAGTCGATTACACGCCGTTGCGATCTCGCCGTGTATTTTCAACGCGATTCGCCGCTTAAATGAAAAATTCCTCCGTTGCGGTCTCGCCATTGCGAGGAAAAAATAGCCAAAGGTTGATAGACGCTGGCGGTGAAGCATCGGCGTTGCGGCATTAAAATTCTTCCAGCTTGCCAGGAGGGAGATTAAATGGCTGGGAAGTTACTTCGCCGCGCGTGTGAATTAAACTGTTTCTGCAGAGTGTAATTAATTATAAATAATTCCACGTAGATTTCAGAGCC